TAAATTATGTTTAATTTAGTTTATTATAGTGCAATATTAATTTTTTGTAATTCGTTCGAAGATTTTGGTGGCGATGGTGAAGATTACAGTGTAGTGTTTGCTACAGATGAGGAATTTGCAGACAAAGATGATGCGGTTGATTGGGCGAAAGGCATGGGCTTAGCAAACGGTATAATAATAAATGTAGTTTCTTGCAAGAGAAAGAATAGTGTTTTGATAAGATGTTATAAAGGTGGAAAGGTCAAGGGATCACTTGAAGATGGTGAAAAATATGTCCCAACAGATTCGAAGACACAAATCACTGGCTGTAAATTTAAGGTATATGTGCACTCAGTTGGTGGAAAGTGGCGCATTCGTATGTATCCTGGTGAGTTTGGAATGCATAACCATTCCCTGTTTAATGAAGATCATCCCACGAGGGGCCTTAGCGATGGAGTGAAACATGTTATACATGGTATATCTAAAGATGGGTGCAGACCGTGTCACATAATGACAGCGATTGAGAGAAAATTTCCAGATGAAAAAGTTAACAGACGGCAAGTTTACAATTACAGGAAGAAATTGCGTAGTCAGGGGTTCCCGGTCTTGGGTGACTCGAGTGCCATGGATGTCGCGATGATGACACTATCGGTGGCGAAGCATCATCATTGCATCATTATGACAGATTGCAATCAGGAGACAAGTGCGCTGACTCGTGTTTTTTTTGCATATCCTGATTCTGTCAATTTATTTTGCACTTACTTCTGGGTCGTCGGGATAGACTCTACATACAAGACGAACAAGTACAAAATCCCATTGGTTGAGTTTATTGGGATGACACCGTGCAACCAGAACTTCTTGATTGCATACGCCCTCTTGAGTCACGAGACTGGTGAAAATTATTATTGGGCTTTGGGATAGTTTAGGGATTTGCTTCCTGGTCATCTGTTTCTAGCTGTTATTGTTACTGATCGGGAACCGGGGTTGATGGCGCCTCTGAGTGTGGTTTTCCAGATTCACGCCACTTGTTGTGTGTTTGGCATGCTTATGAGAATGTAAAACGACATCTCAACAAGGAATTGAAGTTTAATGCCAAGGTTGCAAATGGTTTTGCATATGGGTTGTGGAAAGACGTTGTGGAAGAATCAAGATAACTACAATAAAGCTGTTGCCGGAATAAACCGTCATCGGCACAATTTTCCGAGAGTTCTTAATTATATCCGTAACACATGGTTAGTGGTTGACTACAAATTCGTCAAGGCGTGGACGAATGTTGTGTTTCATATGGGTAACACTACTACAGGTAGGGTGGAGAGCACGCACAATCAATTAAAAACTTGGCTGGAAACATCCACTGCGTCGCTGGATACACTTTGGCTAAGGTGCACTTGGAGATTCAGACTCACCTAACTGAAATACGGTAACTTCTATTCCATTATGTTCTATTTATTATATACTTAGTATTTTTTTAGTATTTTTGGCATTTTTATAAATGTTTTACAGTAAAGAGTTACAAAAAATATAATCCTACATTCAGGTACAAACTGGAATACTCGAGACAGAAAATTGGCACCCATTATTGCGGTTTTCCACTAAACTACTTGAAGTGTCAAGTTTCACATACATGTTTGAAAAAACTGAACACTGAGTGGTCGAAGGTGCAAGAGTGGAAAGAAGAAGCGAATGACAGATGTGATCATGTGGTTTACTGGACTTGTCGAATTCCATGTGCGTGCGCCCTCAAAAAGGCTGCAGATACCGGCACATCGATTACTCTTAAGCATATTCGCCCATTCTGGGCGACCCTTAATATCGGTGAACATGCTGCTACTGGTGGTTGGAGCGATGTGGATGACGATGTCCTTTATACCAGACAGTTGATGGAAAAGCTGAACGAGTGTCCTAAGGCAGTACGACGCACGGCAAATAGGGCTCTCCACGATATTATGCATCCAGACTAGTGTGGGTTCAAACAACCCGAGGAGGTCAAGAGATGGAAGGGGGGGCCGAGATAAAAGCAACACCTAATGTGTGGGATTACAGGGACGACACTCAAGGAAAGTCGACCACAGTGACGAGCGATTCAAGTAAGAAGTGCCCCTCGTCTTCAGGTGGTCATACAGATGCATCAACAGGTACGAGTTAAGAACTTATTTTTGTGTCCATAATTTATTTATTAACATTTATTCCAATTAATATTTGTTCCGTGTAATTTATAGATATTTTTGCGAGTGATATTTCATAGTATGGTTGCTACGACCTTATTCTATGGCCCATTCGGACATATATTACCAATTACCTTGATGTTGCTGCCGATGGCAATTGTAGATTTCGCATCGTAGCGAGTAACATGTATTTGTGCCAGGACCAGTGGGCGATGGCGAGAGAGGCAATGGCGACTGAGCTAGAACAGAATTGGCATCTGTACAAGAGAATTTACAGGTATACCTACTTTTCATTTTCTATATTATGTTTGATGGACTGCAGTATTTTGCCCAAATAATTATACATGTAAATGCAGGACCACTGTGCAGGAAGAAGTCAGTCGTATACGGTGGAGTGGATTAGGTTTCGCACCTAAGCGCCATTGGATGTGTACGACGGAGTTGTTCGTAGTTGGGAAAAATTGGCGGATCTACCCAAAGCTTTACATGCTTCGTCAATTCTACCTTATTCTTTTTCGGTTAGCCAATATTACCCTAAACTATCCAACTGTTAGCCGATTTTGTCCAATTTGCTATTTTCCGTCTAAATTAACGGAATTCTATTTGTTTTAATTATAAAAACACCCTAATAGTTTTAAAAATTTATAAAAATGATCCAAAAATTTACAAAAGTTATAAAATAGTCTATTTTCAGTTTTTAGTTAAAATTTTCTGTTTTTTATTTCTTTTTACTATTTTTCATAACTATAAAAATATACTATATGATCTTTTAAAAAAAATATTTATTTTTAAACTTTAATGTACAAATTTTTAATTACATATTTGTATGTCATGTTTGATTTACATAAGCATATTAATTTTTTAATAATATAGTTTTACAATAATGATACTATTTTTTAATCTATTTTTTTCAATCTAAGGAATAAGATTATTTAACTAATACTAATTTTTCAAAAAAACATTAAACAATTCGCATAGATTAAAATAGATTCTATTGGTATACTTTAATGTATTACAATTTAATTCAACTGACTTTAAATTGTATTTTAAACTTTAAAAAGAAATCAAAACTAAAATATAAATTTTTTTTTAAAGGCCAAGTACAGACAGAAAGTAAAAATAAAAAACACCTATTTCATTTCTACGTTGGCCCAACACAAGAATATAGTGTCGTGACATTTACAAAAATGGTACAAAATATTTTATAAAAAATATGTATATTTATTACTGCGAGGGTTTAACATTTTGTGATAATGTTTTGAGAATTAATATATCTAACTTTAGCAGGAAGTCTTTTTTTTAAAAAAAAAAAAAAATCTACTACAGTACTGGACTCCACCTTTTGTTACATTAAAAAAAAATTAGATTTCTCCAGTGAGAATCGAACCTCGAACACAGTTCTAATCATCTCATATCTTAAATCAGCTAACCATCCAATGCAATCCTCTTACCTTTAGTGGACTCCGCTTAAACGTGGGTAAAATCACTCTCCCCGTTAGAAATACTTTGGTGACAATTAATCTTATATCTACTCTCACGAAACTTAACACCCTAAACACTAGATAGTACCCTATATTTTAATTTAATAATTTTTTTATTTGGATAATATAATCTATAGTCTGTTTAGTTAATTTGCAATAAATTAAAATGTACTAATATATATTTTTTTAATCTATGCTAAATGTTTTTATTTTTTGTAAAAAAATAGTTTTAGTCAAAAAATATTATTCTTTAAATTGAAAAAGACGGATTAGAAGAATAATATCATTATTGTCAAGCCATATTATTAAAAAAATTAATATATTTATGTAAATCAATCATGAGTTACAAAATGTATATCTATAAATTTGTACTGTAGTGTTTAAAAATAAATTATTTATTTAAAATATCATATAGTATATTTTTATGATTATGAAAAATAGTAAAAAGAAATAAAAAAAAAGAAAAATTTAAATAAAAACTGAAAAGAGACTATTTTGTAATTTTTGTAAATTTTTGGGATTCTTTTTATAAATTTTTAAAACTATTAGGGTATTTTTGTAATTAAAACAAATAGAATTCTGTTAATTTAGACGGAAAATAGCAAATTGGACAAAATCGGCTAACGGTTGGATAGTTTAAGGTAATATTAGCTAACCGAAAAAGAATAGGGTAGATTGACGAAGCATGTAAAGCTTTGGGTAGATCTGCCAATTTATCCTTTGTAGTTGCGACTATGAACAATTCAATTGTGTACTATTACAGTGCAGGAGAAGAGAACCAGTCGCTAAACAGCTCATGTTGGACTATACTACCTGTCACTGCATGCGGTGGGGCAACATGTCCGGCATATCCGATTGGGATATGTCACCTTGGTATTTACAAGCACTTCATTTGGATAAATTTGGACGGTGACTTTCCTGTTCCACCGATCGATAATAGGTGGACTAAGGAACATGATTCTAGCGTTACTGGTTGGGAATTACCATTTCTTCCTAGAATTCAAGAATGGTATAGGTTGGTCCCCTTCAATTCTCAAGGACCCGTGGATGATAATGATTACATTGATCTTAGTTTCTTAGATTAGATCCATGTTGGTTTGTTTTGTTGTGATGATGATAATGGTGTTATCTATTATCTAATTTGTTTGTTTTTTATGTATTGTGCAATAATATACCACAAGGACATAAAAATAGAACATATCACAGGGACACCAAATAAGCTAACTAATATATAACACACAATACTAGCATAAGAAAAAAAAACTAAATCCAGTCCAAGAAAAAAAAATTAAACAAATCCAGTCCAAGAAAAAAAAAACATGATTCTAGTTCAAGGAAAAGAAAATAAAACACAATCATACGACACTGATAATGCTCATGGGGCCTTGTAATAACGGGCCATCGTATCCTGCAGCTTCTCATCATATTCAGCAGCAAGATTGCGATCGGACACTTTCACCTTTTTAATGAGGTCCCTAGTGATTTTCCTCAATTCATTCATCCACTGAAGAAAAAATAAACCAAAAAAAGGTTAAACTATATACAATATAGAAATGTATATCTCAAAAAATTAGTAATTAGAAATACAACTTACATAATCCTGACTGCTCCTAGCTGGTGTGGAGTCTGAAGATGAGTCAGTTGTCGGCAGGAGAAATGGATGTGAATATTGCATGTACCATTCAAGGTACCCTTCCTCACACTCTCCTATTATCTCACCGAAATTGAAGTGCCTCAAACCCAAATTAATACACCCTGACTCCGGGATTCTCCTCCAAGTACTGAGTGTGTCAACAGCTGAATGCTCTACAAAGTACTGGGTAGTTTTGGGTCCTCGGAATGCATCATCAGGGGACATGGGCGAACGAGGAATATTCTGTACGTAGCCAATCTGACGTATAACTCTGTCCGGCATGTATGGCTCCTGGAAGTTCCTATACATTATCCATCCACTGTAGATAGTCCTCGGAACTATTCCTTGTTGGCCCGGTCCAAATGGCTCCCACTTTACCTGCAAAATATTATTTATATTATTTATAAATATAAATTTAAAAAAATGAAATACAGTAAAAAAAATATATGTACCTCTAACTCGGTCAAACTGTCGAGACGCTCCCTAACCTGACAAAGACGATCTGGCACAGATGTCGGTCCCACATAAGATGGTGGTATCCAGTCATGTACTCTGGGCCTGTCGTTACCCCTACGTGTAACCGCCCTCCCTGGGGGCAGAAGCACGGGAAATACTCGTAAATCCAAGCCTGCAGTAGGGTCAAATAACCACCTAACTGAGTGCACTTTGCCCTACTAGCCATCCCTAATTGACGGTATAGGAACGCCAGCCTAGCAGAGCCCCACGAGTATGAACCCATATTTTCGATTCCAGCCATAAGCTCATTTACAAGTGAAACATTGCACCTCCCATCACTCTAGCCCATGAACAATGTCGAGGCTAACAATACCCATAAGAAAGCAGAGGCCTGGGTATTCTCGTCCGCTTTCTGGCATCGCTCAAGGATGAACCAACCAAAGACACCGCCATGATTCCATTTGTTACCATTCGAATCCAGTCCAAGTATTCCTGCTGCATGTCCCCTCAACACATCTGTCTCGGGCGTACCTGACACCAACTCTCCCTCAACCCCAATGCCCAAAATATGATAAACATCATGCATCATGATGGTCATCTCCCCGAACGGCAAATGAAATGAGTTTGTGTCCAGCTGCCACCTCCCAACAAATACACTTATTAAGCCAAGATCAATATCATCATACGAGGTATGAAGAAGGTGACCCAATCCAGTCCCCCGAATCTTGCCTTTCACTATATCATCCATATCCCTATACCACAACTTTAACTTGTTGAGAATCTTTTCGCCTTTAAACATCTTCAGGATGGGTCTATGATATCCACGCCATAAATGATAAGCAATATGCCCAAGAAAGCTAGGAATCACGCTACCATCTTTCGGCCCACCAGGTACTTCATCTGTCACTAGCCATATAGTCGGATCAATTTCATCAGAAACTCTCGACTGGCTGCTGCCGCCTATACCATAAATAAGTAAAACAAATATTATTTATTATATTTTATACACATACAACAATTCAATAAATATAATTAAAAAAATTTAATTAAAAATAATTACGTAATTTTAAATAATTACAAAAATTAAATATAAATAATTGGTACCTGATGATGCAATAGTTGTAACAGAACGTGTAGATACTCTAGTGAAGGCGGGACTTCGGCGAGGACAAACGGGATCAATGAGAGAGGAAGGACGTGTAGATACTCCAATGGAGACAGGACCTCCGCGAGGGGGCACGGGATCAATGAAGGGGGGAGATGCCTGACTAGCGCGGGAGGGACGAGGCCGACTACTTGTGGATATACCCTATGGGAATTGAACAACATCAGGGAGAGAGGGACTACAATGTGGACTGCGCCACTCACCACAAATAGGAGAAGGGATAGGGGTAGGGGGAGAGAGTAAACCTCCAGGACCAGGCCGTGGACAACCAAACAGGGGAGGAGGGTAACTACTAGGATTGTACATAGGGCGATCATATGATACGCACCCATCCTAACACTGTCCTGCACATCATTCTCATCAAACTCATTCTCCTCATCCTCATTCTCCTCTTCCAGGTCGTCCTCAAAATACTCAGGTATATTAATCGGCTGACTAGACCGAGGCTCAAACGGTACACCACCCATATTTACCTGAGTCATTTTCATTCGCTTCTTTAACTCTTTTTCCTCTCTTTTCTTCCGACGACTCATGATCAGATAACGCGCACGAACTTTACGCTTACTAGTATCTTCAGTATCACTAGTATCACTATCATCATCATCATCACAACTTATAAACAAAATTTTAGTCATCATCATTATATTTTCATAGTCTAAACTTTTTAACCATACAAATTTTCTAAATCCTAAATAGTGTAATAATTAAGTACCCTTTGATTAAACGTACAATTTAGATAACAAAGTAATTATATACATAATATAAAACTAATTATCATACAATAAATAACTACACTAATTTACTATTCATTAAAGTAATTATATACATAATATAAAACTAATTATCATACAATAATTAACCAAACTAATTAATCTATTGTACTTAATTATAAACTAAACTAATTTACAAACTATTTATTAAATTACTATTAATTAAATTAATCCAATAAACTAAACTAATTTACAAAATATTTAAATTAATTTATTTAATCATAAACTACATTACAAACAAATTAGATTAACTTCTACTATTAATTAAATTAATCCAATAAACTAAATTAATTTACAAACTATTTAAATCAATTTAATTACACAATTTAACTAAATAACAAACTAATAATCAATTAATCTAAATCACAAACTTTTTTAAACTAATTATATTAAATTATAAACTAATTACATTAAATTATAAACTAAATTAGTAAATTAAATATATTATACATAACAATAAAAAACTAGTAATGAATTAAAACTTTAAAAAATTCAAAATTAAATTAAATTAAAAAAAAAAATTTTGACCGGTCGGTTCTCCGACCGGACCGATCTTGGACCGGGCTCATCCCGAGCCAAGCTGCAAAAAAATGACCGCTGGAACGGGCAGTAAAGCCGTGCGGCGGCGCTGACCGGACGCGCAAGCAACGCGTCCCGGTTCAAACCGGAACGAGCAACATGCGTGTTCCGGTTTGAACCGGGACGCGTTGCTTGCGCGTCCGGTCAGTGCCGCTGGATGGCTTCCTTGGCCGTTCCGGCTGGCAGAATATTTTTTTTTTCATTTTCTTCTAAAAAAGCACAATTTTGAACAAAAAAAACTTACCTTTGATGAGATCGGCTTTTTCCCGCTTGGTTTCTTCCGTGTTGCCATCAATTTTGGCTCTAGATAGACTTCAATTTGGGGTTTAAAAAATTAAGGGGTTAAGTTTTTTCTCTTTTTTCCTTAGGTGGAAGTTTTCTCTTTTTTTTCCTTAGGTGAGAGGGACAAAATCGGAATAAATTTAAAATGGTGGCTTCAAATACTAAAGGTGGTGGCTTTGAAAATTAACACCCTTTTTTTAAATGATGTAGGCTACACTGCCTTTTATCTTTGTCATTTTTATATATAGCATTGGAATTTGGACTCCTCCAATTCTAATTCTTGGCTCCAATTTTGGGCAACCAAACAAAGCCTTGGTGTTTTCTACCTCAACATTGTACCGATGTTTTTGTAGTTGCGTTAGTTAGTTCACTGGTTGATCTCATGCAATCAATGTTGTGCGCATAGCCTGTGTACACATCACAGATGCTTCCTATAGTCAAAAACTTGTTAAGGCACCGTCGTCGTTGCTCTTCTTGTAGCGGCACTATCAACTTCACTTGCCTTCTCTTGCAATCCATATTGCCACCCTTCTCAATCCATTCAATCGGAGTGCGCCTGTTGCACGAACTTTTGTCAAAAATATCCCTACTGCTAGCAATATGCATACTTATATTGTTCGCATGTATCCTTTGATATATATTTATTTGGTTAGACTTTTGATTTACTTAATTAGGACAAGCACTTACTATAAAAGTATCGAACGATGATTTACACTATTGTGCGTATAATATCATAAATTTTTAACACTATACTTTTATTCAACTTTTCACTATATTGGTTTACACTGTAACAGTATAATAAAATGAAACAGTTTTAATATCATCATAAATTCACGTTAGTTATATTTTAATACCAAAAAGTATAATATACAGTGTAATAATTCTTCGACCGTATAATATTGTCACACTCAAGACAATGATAAATAATATAATAAAGTGATTATTTACTAATTATTTACCACCATTGAATATAATAAGGCACGTCTTATTGAGATTAGACTTTTAAAGACAAAATCCCCCTCAAATTATGTCCCAAACAGTAATCCTGCTCGAATTTTCTCATAAGGACCCCCCTCCCCCTTGACCGCCATAGATTTGAGGACAATAGTCCATGGGTCAGATATGACTAAAAATCAAAGTGGTTTTGGCAATATTTTAAAGAAAATTCATGAATTGAATTTACTATTCAAACCTTCTTATAATTATTAAATTGCAATGACAAAAATCACTCAAAAACTATATTCATATCCCTAATATCCTCAAAATTTCTTAAAAAGACAAGAGCAACCCATATTTATAGTCTTTCACTTTGTTCATGGTAGCTAAAACTTTCCTAGTTTTATAGACATATAAAAAAATTGTGATAACTGATAGCATTAATGTTTTTGTTATTCTAGTGTCTATAATTAAAATAGTCAATTTACATGTTCATGACGTTCAGTTTTGTAATGTATAATATATATGAAAGAAGAGTAGATAAATAAATAAATAAATAATAAGTTAAAATTGCAGCGCAATTTGGACATGCACAGTTGGTTTAGAAATAGTAGAAAATGTCAAACTCAAAAAAAGATGAAAAAAATTCACAAAGATCTATCACACTTGAAAATATGTTGACTTTCAGTTACATAAATTATGGGGATTGTTTCGAACTAATTAACTTACGAATCGTATTGAGTTTGAATTTCATATTTTGTTTCTTTATGCTAAGTTTTAGTTTGAACTTAAAAAAATTTTCAAACTTAATTGAACTAATAAAAAATTATTTAAAGTATTGAATTGGTAAAAATATTTTGTTGATTTTTAAAATTCATTATTGAACCAAGTGATATTAAAAGTAAAATATTATGAAATCTAACTTATATACCAAGGAACGGTAATGTCGAAATTGAACCTTTCATGTTATCATACCCATTCCCAACGTGAAGCCCTTAGTCAAATCACGCTATCTGAATGTATTGTGATTGAGTGATAGGAACTCGTCTACTTTAGTTTATGTAGAAAATTTGCTTAAAGCATAAACATCAATTGATTGTGTGGTTCAAAAAACATGCTTCAAATCTAGGGTTGGGGACTTTTAGATTGATAGTAAAAATAGTACTCTCAACATCCCGAAATTATTGTCCAGTTTGAATTTCTAGTTTTAGTTCAAATTGTACTGAAAATGAAAACCCGAACTGGACAATAATTTTGAGACAGAGGAAGTAAAAAAATACCGGGGAAGGGTTCCAAAAAATTGGTATTTTATCCAGTTAGATTAAAAGAAGGGATAATAAAAAAAGCCCTGAATTATGTCCAAATGACTAATCCCCCTCTCGACGTTTCTTAAAAAGAAAATATGTTCAAATGAAAGAGCAATTTAACCCTTCATGACGGAGTGGTGTCTTTTGAAGGCGTCGGCGGAAAAAAAGAAGAAGAAGAAGAAGAAGAAGAAGAAGAAGAGTTAAATGGCAACAATGCGCTTTTACGGGTTTTTTTTTTTTTTTTTTGAAAACGACGAAATCCACACCAACTATTCTCAAATCCTTAATGCCCTCTAAATTTTTTAAAGGCCCTTAACTGAAAATGTATAATAGTTAAGGTCATTATTCTATCTTTCTTCATATGTAACCGCAAATCCGGTAACCACTACTACTTCTGCTAATGCTCTCTTATTCGGCAACATAAATACAATAATGTTTGTAATTTTTATTTGATTAGAAAATTTAAATGAATATCAAGGTTTATAATAAAAACAATACGTAAAAAAAACAATTACTATAGTTCCCTAATGATGAGAAAAGAAGGGGGTGCAAAAAGTGAAGAGAAAAAATGTAGTAAAAGTTGGAAACAAACCGAAACCTACCTTCCTTGTCGGATTTAGAGGATTCCTGGATATCTTGTGTTCCTTTCATGTCAATTGTCAATCCAAAACCTGCCAAACAAACAGTAATATTTGGAATCACTCCTGGATTCGAAAACCCTCACGTTTGTTTGGGTTAACTGTCGTGTTTCGATCCAATAGGCCAATACAATTATGATAAAACTTCAAAGAACCTGGGCCTTCGATGTACTACGTAATAAAAAGTCCACTTCCATTAATGTGTCGTTATCTTGGCTTCCCCGTAATGTGATCTTTGTGATACTTTTATGTTTGTACTTCATGACGTTAACTAAAATCTTTAACACATGTTTAATCACTTGCCAAATAAGGTTCACTAACTATTTTTTTTAACAAAGTAAATAAAAGTAACACTTACTATTTAGTTAGGATATTGATGATTAGTTCTTTAAATGCATGTCCATCATTTAACTAATGTCACATGACAAAATATCACAGATTACTCTATGCCAGATAAAATTTGTGTTTGACACCAATTCTGGAGGAAATTGCTCGGAAACCTTCTCTTAATGTGTTAATTCTCACGAATACGGATGTCATCAACTTGTTAAACTGAATCAAACCATTACTATGTATATGTAGGCATCCGAGTTCAACAAAAATGAAATTTGGGAGAAAGAGTGACAACTCCAATTTTATTAAAGTCAGAAAATTGCCTGATGTACATGGCTTTCGATGTGGTGGTTGTGTTTGAGGAAAAGAATGAGCGATGATGAGAGTAAGACTTTCACCAAAAAAAAAAAAAAAAAAAATTCTTACAGAAGAGAAGTACATTGTCTGAGATCAAATTAATAATTTCTAGAATATGTAACCCCAATAATACTATGTTCTAATTACGGTATACCTTTCATCGGCAGTGCTTCGAGTAAGACTTTCATTTGGAAGCATGGGTTTGATGGTTCGTTCAGGATTGAAAAAGTAGTGTTTGTTTGGACAACGTTTTTATTTTAGTTTTTGATTTGGATTTGAAAGGAGATTTAAAAGGTAGTTTAGTTTTTTATTTAGAAAGTATTATAGTATA